GGGGGTGGGGGTCGGTGTCGGGCATAAAGGGAGATTGAGAGAGATGGGCAACAAGAGATTACTCATTGTAACAGAAGGCCCAAAAATGGCTGCTTCTTTACCCAGAATTCTTGCCATCTGCTTCCTTACCCATAATTCTTGCCATTTAGGTTATGAGCTTCTGAGCTGTTGGGTCGAAACCTAAGACATCATTGACCTCTGCGTTAGCCATGGCTGCTATCATAGATTCAGTTAGTTTTGTGACTGTATCAGACCCCCAAAACCCAAAACAACCAAAACCCCAAAACGAGAGGGATGGGCAACGAGAGATGTATAAAGAGGGGTAGGCAAGAGAGAGATTGAAAGAGAGAGGCGAGTTTCAGAGGGCAGTGGGCCAGCGAGGATTTGAGAGAGAGGGTCATTGAGGGTTTGAGAGAGAAGGGCCAGCCAGAGAGAGACGAAGAGAGAAGAGTTACAATGCTTAAGAGAGAGAGAGAGAGGTGGGCGGGAGATGGAGAGAGAGAGTTCCCTTCACGCGAGAGGGAGAGTCGGGACACCGTTGTCAGTTGGTTTCTTTTCAATAATGGTCGCCACTGTCAGTTGGTTTCTTTTCAATATTGTAGGGCTCTTGGGATTTAAAATCAAGATGAATGGGAAAACAAAAACAACCGTTGGCATATAAAGCTCCACACACGAGCTGGCGTACCAAATCCTTTCCATATATATATATATATATATATAGAAAAAACTGGGATTAGCCCACTAGCTCATATGAACATATGAGCCGAACGGTCCAGATTGAATCTGCGCCGATCTGACGATCGAACCTCATTTCGAGTTTGAATTTTAATTTTTTTCTACAAATCCAAATCACTTGAAATTTTAGGTGTGTATTCTTCTCATCAAGGCGCACCTAATAAAAATATAAAAACAATTATTCAGGGGTATTTTGGTCAATTTATTTTATACAAAATACTGTTTTTGATATTTTTTGAAGACTCAACTATTTTTTATGAACACACTCCTAAAATTTCAAGTTACTTGGATTTGTAGACAAATAAA